GAGCTTGTGAGAAAATAGGTAGAAGAGTCCACAGAGAAGAGTTTGTAAGAAGCGTCTCCTCTTGCGCAGAGAAAAGAGGTCTTTTACTCTCGAATGAGCGAGAGAGATGAGACGAGATCTTGTTAGCCCTGAACTTGGTCACGAGGATAGCTGATGTTCTTCTGTAGCTTGAAAGCAAGACTGCGGACTTATTTTTCCATCAAGCTGCTAGGAATCTTAATTTTTATCTTTTACTTTAATCGAAAAAAATCAGATTTTTAACCACGATTAAATAAACAGATTTTGTCCTCATTATATATTCATTTGGTGAGACACAACGAAGGTGCATATTTCAAACAAAAAAGAGAAAGAAAGAAAGAGAAAGCGAACTACGTAATCTTTTAATTATAAATACGGAAGCATAAGCCAATACGATTGGAGGGTTTCAAAGCAATCGCATGATTATTCATCAAAAAGGGACATGTTTAACCAATTAAATCTCTAATACACAAACTTGTCTCCCAGTTAATTTCAGTTGTGCTAATAAACTGATTCTGGGGGACACCGTATGTACCGGAAAATGTAGGACGATGTAAGATATATTTCTGTTGATAATAATTGTAACCCGCTTTTACCGCGTCTCTCGCATGCGTGTATTTTCCAGCAAATGTATATGCTTTCCAGAGTCCCACGAGCTATCTTTAGCACAATAGTCATAGCTGCAGTTTGTAGAAAAATCTCAGAAACGGTGCCGCCAATCTGTCTCGCGAAACCAATCATCATGGCGGTTACTTTAAACAGATGCGATTCACGGTCTCTCTTTCTCTTTCTCAACCGTACAGACATGTGTGGAGAAAACGGCTTTCGATTTGAGAGATGCGTCAGCTGATTGCGTTAAACGCCCGCTCCTAGGAATGTTTAGAAAACGAGTCGTAAATAGCTAATGGGTCAATAAAGCTGCGCGCAGGGTACGAAGTCCACGATACGCAATTGGGTTTACGAGATGTTACAACTAGGAAGGTTCATGGACGCATGCGAGAGTTGACGAGAAAGCGACACGCAAATGCGTGTTGGCAGAGACACGTTAAAATCGACAACGTCATTATGGTAGCTATTCTCCACCAGAAAAGTACCTGTAATCGCGATTTGTTGCGACGTCTTGAACTTCTTATATACTTATTATACACTTTAAATTATACACATTGAATTTTTAAGGATCATTCGTGTCTATTGGATTGAACTTGTACGATATTAAATCACCTAACGTATTCAAAGGCATGCTAAAAAATGTCTTTAACGTCTATAGACATGTAAATACAACTTGTGATGAGTGCAATCATGTTTTGATAGCACATACATATATGTGCATGTATCATGCAGAGTGCATATTATTGGTGATAGTACTGATGAGTCATAACTTCGAGTCTTGTGCAACCTCAATATATACGAGTCTGCATTCAAGAAATCAACAAATCTCATTCTGCATATATGCTCATCGTCAAATATCTTTTATTACTTTCTAAATAAATTACCTATCTATATTTGATTTTATCGTCATCTAGCCATAAGGACTTTAATACGAGATATTTTTTGTTGTGCGTTATTATACGCATATGACTAAATTTTCTATGTATTAAATTTATTTCTGCGCCCTAACAACTCTGTACTTGATGTTTTTTTAATTATTTGTCATTTTTCGTTATGATCTGTTTCTTAATACCTATATCTCGGTTCGGGTTAGTACAGAGAGAAAAACACGAAAAGAGCGGAAGTTCGAATAATCGCACGCTTGTCACGAAAGGAGGTGATGACAGGCGTGATTCTATCTGGTTCGATCGATCAATTAAAAAGTACGATCGGCCACCATGGCAAACGACGGATGATTAATCTGAACGCCGGGATACAGAACAAAATTCGTTTGCAAAAATCACAGCAAGAGGCAAGTGGCGGAACAACTCGAATTCGCTGGCAGTCAGCTCACGTAATGAATCAACTCGCTCATAAATTCCGTAACGAGTCCTCGTCGCACGTAATCGTGAAATTATGTCGTTGGAACATTACGGAATGCAGATTGCGCAAGAACAATTAAGTCTGTTGAAGCACGTGGTCAACGATAGTACGGGAAAGCATGGAATAATAATGCGTCCGGCACACTTTTGTTTGTTTAATTGGCCTGAAAAAAATGCGAGAATTATGTCCACGATTGCGCATTCCTTATTACTGTCGGTAAAAATCGCAATTTTGCATTTTACATCATTGTGCTTCGATACGCTCAGCAATACAAGTTTATAATCCCATCCGGAGAAATGTTTGGTATGAATATTTTGTTGATATGTGACTTACAAAAATTTTCTTATTTTTTAGTTAAAGAATTGTGTTATTCTAATTAGACTTTATGGAATCATGATTAAAATATTAAAATTTTAATTAGAGAACAATACAATTTTTTAATTAGAGAAAGTAAGAAAGTTTTGTAAATTACATATTAACAAAATAAATGATTATTCATATTATAAACATTTTTCTCAGAGCCTAATTAGAGCACGTTGTATAAATGTGCGTGATTTTAGAAAATTGCAAAGGTTAATTCGTAACAAATTTAGCAATAATAAATTAAAGAAATCGACAAAGATATCGTTTAAACTTTAGACGTTGTATGAATTTTTCATCGCATCGGATATTGTTCAAAGCGGTTTCTCTTCACGACGGTTCATCTCTCACGTACGTTAGAGAGATCGTAGTTTTACGTTACTGCCGCATTAACGTGTTTTTTGCACGGTGATATTGCCCGATTGTTCATATGCCAGTAACGATGAGTATTATTTAAACCAACTTCCTGCGAGTCCCACTTTGTGTGAAAGGAAGAATCATTACTTGCGGTTCTTTCGAGCTACTATCGACGTGACTCTAAACCCCGTATTGACCCAGACTGCGTGAGTCGAATGCTTCTATCATTGCATACTCTTGTCCAGGATCATTCATGGACGAAGACGTGTTAGTCACGTGTTCACGTATGCCGCTGGGGTCAACGGCTTATTGCGCGAGAGTTTCCCATACCTAAGTGAGAAAACTATCATCTTTGAAGAAGATCAAATCACAAATCACAAATAATTCGAAAACGAGAAAGATCCGAAGAAAAAGAAAAAGTAAGTAAAGCCGCGACAAATTGTATCGATTTTTAATATCTGTAAATAATTTGCTATTTGTGTAGATTTGTATTATAAAATATTAATCATAGATCTCTTAAAAGAAGCATCAATCTCTCAGGAGGATTTTTACGAAGCAAAAGTACTCTCCGGAGAGAATTCTCTCGAGAAAGAATTCATAAATAACCTAATTCCCTTTTTTTCCCTATTTATGATCACACATTTTGATTGTTTCTGATGATTTGTTGTAGCAAGATTATTGCATTTTGCGAAGATTTCGCATCACAAATACACAGCTGTTTTGTCTGAGGTCGTGAGAGAGACCGTCAACGTACATACATTCACTCGTAAAAGCCATTATTTGAGAAATTACACGTTACCTTCTTTTAAAGGAGACCTAAAAAGACTCGGAAGAGAATGGAGAATAAGGAAAGCCATTATAGCCAAATTAAGAAAAACTCATAAACGTTTTTGTTATCATGACATGAGAATAAACGAACTTTTCACGCAGATGTCGCAAAATAGTGATCCTAAATAGAAATCCTAAAACTTTTTAAAGTCTTTCTGTGAATTGTTAAGAGACAGAGAATCTCCTGATAAAGTCCTAGACAATTTACTTAGGTTACAATGCAAGCAGCGATTTTAGCGTCATTGCAACCTTGTTCTCAGCTAATTATGCAGTTATAGGGTTCACCGGTCAGCGATCGGATAATTGCGATATCGTAGACTCGCGCAACGATAGAAGACCGCCAATCGATGTTACCAAAGATATACCGTTATCTGCCCGTCACTTTCGGGCGTTCATTGACGAACATGGAAATTGGAACCGTGTCACCGGAAGTGGGGCTTTCAGTAGTGGCGAGCGTATAACGAGTAACGTGTTGGAACCCTCTACGGACACCGCAAACGGGAAACCCCTCGTTCATCAGTTCGGCGCTTGATGTAATTATCATGAAGCCAATTAATAACACGATCTGGAATATGAATGCTTAACCCAACCTCAATCGGGATTGCGCTTATTGATCAACGAGAGATCATTGATATCAGACCCTACGCTATCTGATCGTAACTGTGAAATAATTCTAACGTAGTAGTATTTATATTTAAATAAGGATTGCCTAGAACTTTGCTCATCGGACCGTAAAATGTTTCACACGATTCGTGCGAGCGCCGTTTGTACATCCTTCGCATTGTTTCGAATTGATTAAAAGGGAACGTTAAACGATTTGCGGTATCGAGGTCAAAGTATCATTAAAATGTAGGAGTGGCTATCGGATTATTTCAATACTTTATTATCTCATATGAGATTTTAAATTTAACTTAACATTATTTTAATAATTTTTAGATCAGGTATTTTAATAAGGACATAAAGTACAAAGAAAATTTGTTCAAATAATATTTATTTAAAAAATAAATCATATGAGTTAGTGAAAAGATCATGTTGCATAAATTAAATTAATTTCGATTAATTAAAATTATTTTCTTCTATCTGTCTGTTGCGAAAGATTAAAAACTGCTGCAGGTAATACAATTATATAATTAAGCATTACACGATATTCCTAACTTTTATAAAAAATTTTATGAACACTTATGCGTGTGTGTGTGTACCTTTCTTAGAACAGGCACGTATTGATTTTTATTGTATATAATCACATAATGATACAAGATTATTCAAGTTGCATTTCTATTCGGCAGGATAAAGTCAAAGAAAGAAAAATGAGGCACTGTAATGAGATACTGTAATCCTTTTCACAAAAGGAGATCCTATTAATCAGTCTTTAATTCCAAGTATTGCTTCCACAACTCTTCGCAAACTGATTTCTTTACAAACAGAAATTCTTCATTATTTCACACAACATCATTTGCACATGATTCACACACTTGACTAGTCTTATTCGATACGGTTTCATTCTTGATACACATTAATGAATGTTGTTTGCTTCAAGTGGCACATCCAGGTGATTTTTTCGGGAGCGACGTATATAATAGCTATTTTATTCGCGTGTATAAATCAAAGTCTACGCCATACGGCCAGCTCGTAAATACTTCCAAATAAATTATCTTAAGATATAGCTACGCGACAGTTAAGTCGCGTGATTTTCACTGAACACTTTTGACGATTTTCGTTCACGACAGCCAATGCTCTATACGTTCGGTTTATCGCACTTTCACACGACCCGTTGTAAATTTCTCACGCTTGCCGGTTAATAATTAGTGCGAAATTGCGATTTCATGCGAACGCGTTGAGTCGATTTCCTCTTCCATTCCCTTGTAATAACACGGATCGATGGTTATATTTCTCAATGCTTACTCCATCGGAATCGATGCTGGGGCGAGCCATCGAGAACGCTCGATCGACGTGCGAGCGATCTCATAGCGTGCCTGTTGTCTAATTCATAAACCGACGATGGTCGATAAAAAAATGGTCCTCTTCGTACAAGACGTTCGTTTACGCAAAATAAACGCAACGCTTTACGACACATGTGCGAGGAATAGTTTTCCCACTCGCGACGTTATTCACCTACATGAGATCGGAAACTTGAGGTCACCATTTAGTACGTGGATTGAATATAGGGATCGTACAATGTCCTCCGGGAATACTTAAAACTTGAACTTTGGCCGGTGTCACGGAAGAAGGCTGCTTCTCACTGGCCTTTTGTTGTAATCGTCGTCTATGTCGTGGAGATCAGGTGGGTCCGCGAAACCGCTGTCCTCGTAACGGGTACAACGTGAACCGGGCGATCTCGGCGGATGGACTGGATGAATGCTGCAACGAGGAGAAGCGAGAATAATGCAAGTACTTGAATCG